TTTTTTCTTCGTCTATTTACCACTCATATTTATACTTATTTTACTTTCCCAACTTCATTGCTGACTTAATCAAAACATCATTTTGTTGATAGTTTTCATATGTTCTCCATAATGCTTGAGCGATAGCTTCATTTTCCATCAACATTTTTGTCACCATTCCCACAAAATGCGTATTAAAAAATGTGTGTATGTATGTGCATAAATACCACACACAACGCTTGTATCTGTATTAACAATTTCCGCCATGAAAAATTTCATATTTCTCTGTGTGTCATATTTTCTACAGCTCGATGTCTTAATGCATGTTCAGACATTTTTACATACATATACCACACGATGTGGGCAAACACTTTAATTTGCTACGCGTCACATTTTTCATCAGTGTTGCCCAAAAGCAAAACAAAAGTTACAAAAAATTTAAATAAACAACAAAGCAACTCACGTCGTGGTGGGCGCTGCTGTGACATAAATAGAAGCAGATGTAGAAATGGTGTGCCAGTTTTCGATGGTGTCACAAAAAAAAAACCGAAAAACAAAATTTTCATAAACTTCAGTGGCTATGCTGTTGGAGGTATGTAGTTTTAGCCCGTTGGCATCAGTAAAACCCTTTACCCTCTCTTCTTTTCGTCGACGCACCATTTTGTTTAATCAAAAATTAATAAATTTATTTGACTTGCGCCTAGTCAGTGAGGCAAGCGAAGACATTAAGAAAATTTCAAATAAATCTTGTGCTGCGTACATTAATACATACAACAGCACATACATACATATGTATGTACTTACAAGCACAAAACACCGAACAGCTGGGCGTAAACGTGTATTTTGTATGAACAGGGCAAGCTATTAAGATAAGCAAGCCATTGCGCTGAGAGCGCCTTACCAAGCAAGAGCTGGGCTGTTGCAGCAAAGGTTAAACTAAATAAAAAAAAATGCTTGACCAAATGCCATTGATAATGCGTCACCAGCCAAATGCATTAATGCAACAAGAAAAACACTGTTAGCAGCAGCACTTTTTTCTCTCGTGGAAACCAGCAACAACAAACAGCCAGCATTATGCCGAACAGGCGCTTTTTATTTTTTTAAGTAACCTTTTAGGCGTGAACAAACACAAACATAGACCTAGATATGTACATACATATGTATGTGTGTAGGTGTGTTTACATGTGGAAAAAGGTTCACACAGCTTCAATGATGTTCTTCACCTGTGCAGCTATTGATTATTCGCTTTTTTCGTTGATTTACTTTGTTTTTGTTTTTTTTTTTTGCTGGTCAGACATAATTTTTTTCTACTTAATACATACTTTGGTTCTTATATTTTTGCTTGCTGTCCGCCGCCAATGCTTTTAGTTGCCCAGTGTGAACTTTGCATTCGCCTACTTTTATGGTATTTCCACAAATTCTATAAAAAATCGTGTAAAGGAAAAATACGTGGGATTATTTTCACTTTTTGTAGTGAAATCAATCAAGCAACACACTCAGCATGCATTAACAATAGGTTCTACAGAAATGCATCCTGTGTAATAAAATGTCCATTTTCGTTGAATGATTTTTTTTCAATCTTATTTGTGCTGAAAAGTCTATATAGTCAATGGTACAGGATAATAACATAGTGTAAAGTAAATATAGTGCGAGCCATGTCGCTTGATACATAATTTTCTTGTTAAATATATTACATCCTTCTTATTAAACATAAATTTTGATTACAGAATGGATTTCTAACTTTAAAATTTTTTTTTTGTAGTCAATAAAAATTTCAAAATCGCTTCGCTTTTACCCACTCAGGAAAACTCAAAAATTTCAGTAGCGTCCTCTTGAGTTCTAAGCATTTGCTGGAAAACTATCTTTCACATCTCCACAGTTTCTCCAGTTACTTTAGAAAGAATTTCCGGACATTACTTCTAATTCAATTCAGCGTTTGTGTCTCCAAAGAGTCCCAAATTTGTCGGGTGTCCTATTCGTTCCACTGAGCAACAGATAGGGCATGGGTATAACTGGTGGGTAGCGTTTTCAGACAGTTCACTTAATGTATGCATACTTATGTACAAACCTGTAAAAGTTAACAGTATTCCACGCTCTTCGAGTGTACCGCTTCCCCAACTGATCTTGCGCTATCAACGAAATTTTTGTAATAAATATTGATACTACTTCTCCACTTCTCTGTCCACCATTAATTAAAAAAAAAATAGTTTTCAAATAAAACACAAAAGAATTGTACTTTCCTGCACATGCTCAGCATGACCCAATTTTAAACTACAGACAGTGCAACTCGTTAGTGTGACTAATTTTAATAAATGATCGCCCGTAGCTAAATTGAAAATTTATAATGCAGATAAATGTGGCAACAAGTGCTTGTTAAAATTAATAAATGTAGAATATCAGTATGTAGCTAATAAATGCCTACAATTTATAAATTTTGTTGTATGTACTTAGTAGATATCTCGTTAGCTCGTCACGCCTAATTGTAATTAATAACTACATATTTTTTGTGTCACATCTAGTCATGCATTAATTCTACATAAATGCAGTCAAAATATTCCATTCAAATTTATCATTATATTTTCATGCCTTTCCCCTTGCCATTGCACACATAGAGCTGAATAGCCTTTTCTATTTGTGTCACTTACATAGTTATAAATTTTTTCCATAAATATTATCGCAGGAGTAATTCGTTTGCGTCCTAAGTAGGTGAGCATTTATGTGTAAAGCGTGGCTTCTAAATGCATCAATTCATAGATAAGCTTAAGTTAGTGCGAGTTCAAATGTGTTACGACTACGATGGTGTCCGGCACGCACTCTGGTGGCCACTGAGTTATCTGGATAAATGCATTTAGCTGGCGTCATTTTTTTCTTTTCTCTCAATTAGTGTTAAATAGCTGTGCAAGCACTCACCTGTAGGTAAATATTTAGGTTTGTATTAAAAACGACGCCTCTTATCATCTAATTGTAGCTTTACAGCAAAGGTCTTTAGTAAAATGTTGCCTTAAAGAAGGCAGTAAACAACATAGGTTTTCAATCGCATTCGCGCCTTGGAATAGTTTAAGCGTAGTCTATCAGGGGCAGTCAGATCAGTTAGTGACTTTTTTGAATTTCTCGTGTACTAGATAATGTTAAATGCAACACTGATTCTGCCATGTACCATTTTTGTATAGGTTTGGCTCAGCAGCATCTGAGAGCAGAACAACCTCTTAAATTTCGAGCTAAAAGTAGACTATGCTGAGCAAAAACTTTCTTGACCACGAAATGTATTTTTATTAAAATTAGGGTGGTCCTTAAAACAACATAAACATCTTGGGGCATCTACGTAAAAAATAAAGCGGTCCACGAAAGTAAAAAAAAAAAATATTAAAAAAATTAATGAACTCTGCCAAGGTTTAACAAAATGTATTTCTTGTTTTTCAATCACGAAAATTCGACGAAAATTTTACTTTGACCAGCAATAACTCAGCGAGTTTATGAATTTTTATATATACGATTCTATAATATGCTAAATTAATCAGATTTCAGGATCATATTTTGTAGAATTTTTGCGAAAAAAAAAATTTTCAAACCCTGGTAGCGACCCTTGCAAATTTGTCTAAAATTTCCGTGTACTTATTTATTTTGTACGTAGAACAAACAAAAAGGATATCTACCATATATTTATTTTTTGCTTAGCATATTACAACTTGTGGTAATTGCTGATTAAAATACCTATTTTTTCTTATATTTTCAGGTATGTAAGGAAACTGACAGTATAGTGGTTGAAAACAGTAACAAATGGTGGTTGAAAACAGTAACAAACAAAACAGTAAGTCTAAAAATATTTCACCAAATAGGGAGCAATGTAATCCCGTTTAACCGATTAATTTTGCGAAAAGAATCGAATAAAAAGGCAAATCATTTGACGCTGACACATTTTATTAGCGTATTATGACGAACTGCTCCCCTATTTTTTGATGAGCTGTATTGAATTGTCTAAAAC